TACACAGGTGCAGGCGCAACAACAACTACCACTACTTGCGCACCAATAACTACCACAACAACAATTGTTTGGCCAACAACAATTACTACTACACGTGCACCAATAACTACCACAAACACAGGTGCAGGCGCAACAACAACTACCACTACTTGCGCACCAATAACTACCACAACAACAATTGTTTGGCCAACAACAATTACTACTACTCGTGCACCAATAACTACCACAAACACAGGTGCAGGCGCAACAACAACTACTACTACTTGCGCACCAATAACTACCACAACAACAACAGTACGCCCAACAACAACTACTACTTGCGCACCAATAACTACCACAACAACAAATGCACGCCCAACAACAACTACTACTATTCGCGTACCAATATCTACCACAACAACAACTGTATCTCTAACAACAACTACTACTTGCGCACCAATAACTACCACAACAACAATTGTACGGCCAACAACAACTACTACTATTCGCGCACCAATAACTACCACAACAACAAATGCACGCCCAACAACAACTACTACTATTGGCGCACCAATAACTACCACAACAACAACTGTACGCCCAACAACAACTACTGCTACTCGCGCACCAATAACTACCACAACAACTACAGCTACTTGCGCACCAATAATCACCACAACAGCAACTGTACGCCCAACAACAACTACTACTTGCGCACCAATAACTACCACAACAACAAATGCACGCCCAACAACAACCACTACTATTGGCGCACCAATAACCACCACAACAACAGCTGTACGTCCAACAACGACTACCACCATTCGAGCACCAATAACCACCACAACAACAAATGTACTCCCAAGAACAACTACAACTACTTGCGCGCCAACAACACCAACAGTAACTCCAGTGGCTTGCATAACAACGACAAAGCCACCATGCGCAACGACAACCCCACCATGTACAACAACATCATGCCCATGTACAGCTACACCATGCCCGCAAAGCATATATATTCCACCATATCAGCAAGCGGTCAGACCCCTATCTGTCCTACCACCGCAATCTCATCAATCTAATATGGATTTATACATAAAATACGTTTGTCAAGGCAAACCAACCGGTTTTACGCTACCTTCACTGAGGAGCTGCAACGAATACTACATTTGCCGTAACGATCATGCACTGAAAGTCAGTTGTGGCGATGCATATTTCAACGCTATGAAGGGACAATGCGATTTGCCGGAGAATAGTGGTTGCATACAACCATATCAGCAATTATATTGAAATTTGACTTGAACTATAAATGCCAATTCAAATATGATAAAGGGAGAAACGAAAATTAAATGATAATTATTACACGTTAATATGTAATTTTATAAAAATTTTAAATATATAACATACTTGTATATTATTGAGCAAGCAATTCATGAGAATGTAAACAAATGTCTTACTTCACTTACATACCAGTATATAAACACAGGGGTGTGGGATGTTCAATATTATTCTTCTGCTCTCTCGTTGTCGAGTTTAGAATATTTTTATGATTTTAACTCAGTACGATATATAATTTTGTGTATTAAACAATAAGCTAACTAAAAAGCTATTTCGAAGCTCTAATTATAGTTGATATTTTACTCTCTGAGATCATCATTAGCCTTGTCAATCCTAAACTATGCTCCTTAAGAAATTCGAGTAGCTTATGGGGCTATATACAGTTAGAACCCAAAAAAAAGTGAATTTTTCAGAAGTTTTTCTGAGTAAACTTTTAAATTTATTGTAAGATTAAATCCAACGTAGTTAACAAATGTAAGAGGGCTTTAAGCTCACTAGCAAGTCAACTTCACTTGTCCATAATTTGTGCTGCCGGTCACAGGTAAATTTCTGGCAGCGAAAGAGACGCAGACGAGTCAGGAGCCTCTCTAAACCAATCCGAGGCATGGACATTACCGTGCCCGCTAGGGCTGATCAAGAGGCAGCTAAATGCACAATTTAAACAAATAGCTCAGAACAGATGAAAATCTATAACTTAATGCGAGATAGCGATGTAGATATGGCCAAATAGAAGAAAGCACGAACTAAGCACTTATTAATTTGGTCTAGAATATTTATGTATAGACTTACAACTACTATAACGGGGCATTGGCCGTTTGGAGAACATGCGTTAAAAATGGGAGTACCCTATAACAATATTTGCCACAGCTGCAAACTCGAAGGGAGTAAGGAAAGATTTCGGCAAGATGAAACGGGATAGCAAGATTTAAGGGTCCTCCGAATAGTACATGCAAGCATAATTGAGCCCAAAGCTGCTACACTCCAACCTACATACCTAACTACGCTTGCTTGCCCTCTGACGCGTGCCCAGTTGTGTTGTGATTCTCTTGAAAAAACTAAGGCTAATTGAAATACATAGATTTAAAACTATATATAAGTATATGCTTAAAATATGTAAATCATCAGTATTACAAGGCGAGTTGAATTCCTGGTGGTCCGTCCGTTTGTCCGTGTAAAGGATAAATTGAGTAAAACTTTAGACATCTTGATGAAACCTAGTACATGTGATACTTAGAACCATAAGCAGGTCGGTATTGCAATTCGATGGTGGATTATTGCCAGACCTACAAAATGTCTTAGATCTAAAATTTAGAAAATGCTATAACTGTTACAAAGTGTTGTGCAGTAGAGCGAAGCGTTCACAAACTGAACATTTTTAAAAAGTGTATTGCTATGGCAACCAGGCTTGCTTAAGAGGAATTCCAACAGCACCTTCTCAAAGAATATGAAAATGGCTAAAATCGGAAGATAACCACGCCCACTCTTTCATCAGAATCTTTCGCTTTACATTAACTAAATCAAGCACCAATGAAGGTACCGTCAATATTAACTCACGCCTAAACGTTGTCGAAAAGCCCTCAGATACCGAATATATCGAGCCTTTGGCTGATTCATTGTCGGTGGATCTGTGAGATATATTTATTATTGAAATTCAGAGCACATATTTTCCCGATAATAATCAGCTTTGTGTCAAAAAAGGGTAAAATCGCATCAATACTACCCCTAGCCGCCATATACCTAAGAAAACAATTCCGAACTTTCGGTAGACTTTATTCTGTATATACTGATTGGTAAATCTGTAAGTTATCTTATTAATGTTAAGAGAGAATATGTTTCCAAATATCATGTATCTTTGTGCCTTAAATATATAAAATCGGGTGAAAATTTGTCCCAGCTCACATTTAACTAATTCAAGGGTTTACGAACTTCCGGTTTACTTATCTTAATGAAACTCAGAGCACTGATAATAGCATTTCGCGATGATCAAATAGATAAAATCAGGTCAATATTACACCATGTAAGAATTTCAAATAACCGGTTAGTTTTATATATGGTACATACTCGTAGTATACATATATTGGTCAATATGTAAGATACTTTGGCAGAATAATGTGTTGAAACTTGGTGAGGTGACTTATAAAATTAGTTAAGAAGATACAAAATATGATTGTATCTATTCACGGTTTCATCAAATAATGAATGCTGAACTTTGATGTAAAGTTTTGTCAATATCTGAAAGAATTTTCCCGGCTTTGAGGCTTGCAAACTGCCAAAATGTAAAATGTGCGGTTACAACCAAATTTAGCTCTTCTTTACTCGTTATACCCTAAACATGGTATATTAAGTTTGTCACGAAGTTTGTAACACACAGGAAACGTCGGAAGACCTATAAAATACATATACTATATATATGTATATATATAATATATGATCAGCGTGACGAGCTTAGTCGATGTAGCCTTGGCCGTCTGTTCGTTAAACTGTACATATGCGAGCTGAAACATACGTCATTTACTCTCCAAAAAGCTGCTCATTTCTCGAAATTGCCGATATCAGATTACTATAGCATGTAGCGCTCATCCAAACTGATCGATCAAATTCAAGTCCCTGTATGAAAAACTTTTGTATTTGGCAAGATATCTTCACGGAATTTAGCACGGACTATTATCCAAGAGAACGGTATACGCTCCAAAGAAATTGTACAGATCGGACTGCTATAACCGTAAAGGCGTTACATGGGTTTCCTCGAGCAACAAACGGCCTTAAATAAGTTTTTTGGTATATAAAAGTTTTAATATTTTATTAAAAAATTTTATTATTCCAATTATACATATTTTACAAATATTTTGTGAAATTTTCGTTCTAAGAAAACGTGGTGCCTTTGCCACCACAATTTGATATCGAATATGAGAGCAGCCGCATTATATCTTCGACTAACCAAATACAAGAAATATTTAACTATCATTACATTAGTTTGATTTTCGTGAATATTCATTGCCATATCTTAAATAAAGAATACAAAACTAAAATTGCAACCAAAAATATTATTTTGCAATAACTTTTGCCACAATTCAAGCAGTAAGCAAATACAAAATTTTAATTTATTTTTCTCCATCAACTCAAGGCAAATATGTTTCTTAAAATGAACTCTATGACATGGCCACAAGTGAATTACGCAAGCATCTAGTTTACATGTGCGGTCAGAGTTCGTTGGCCAATGTCAAGATATTCGTTTGAAATGCAACAATAAAAATTTAGAAATAAATATGTCTGTGTGTCGAATAATACTTGTAATTAAAAACCATCAAAAATTCCATCAAAGTGTTGAGAACCTTTGCTTCAACATTTCTGCTGTTGTGCTTTTACCAGCCAAAGGTACGCCACACAAACACATGCTAACGTAAAAACGCTTCCACAGCGTGTCTTTGCCGTTGTCTCACCGTTTTGCTGTGGCTTTTATGCCACGCTGCATCCAGCCGCTGCCAACATCTTATTGTGAAAATATATTTCTTTTAAATTGACCACTTGTTTGATTGCCATTAAGTGTAAGAGAGTGGCTACTCAAAAGTGCGCAGTAAAATAGAAAATGTCTCTTTGCCACTGAAGCCTTTGGCAATAGCTACCTTTGGCTGCTAACGTTCTTTCAATAGCAGCTGTTGAGAGCGGCGATGGGGTGGAGAGCGGTGAGCAGTAGTATGTGCAAACAAGCGCATTAATTGCAAGAAGTGCCAGCTGGTAGTAATGGATAAAATTAAAAAATTCTAAAAGAAAAAGGCAAGCAGCTTAGAAGTGGTTAATATGAAAGTGCAACAAAATGTATAAAGAAAGAAAAAAACAAAAAACAACGTTAACTTCGGTTGCACCAAAGCTATAATACCCTTCACCGCTGTCACATGTGCTTTTTTTTTAAGCAGAAAAAGGTATAGTAAGATCTTTAACTTAACTTTGATCAGTCAGTTTAAATGACAGCTTAATGCTATAGTAGTCCGATCACAACAATTTCTTCAGAGTGTGAAGCGATGCCGGAGGTTGTACTCTACATTGATTTTGATCCTTCAGCTTGTATGACAGCTACCAGATATGCTGCAGTAGTCCGATCTAAACAGATCTTCGGAGCTTGTGATAATAATCCATGTCAAATTTCGTGAACATATTACGTCAAATGCAAAATTTGCCCATATAATTACTTCATTTGGATCTTGCAGTTTATATTATATGACAGCTATATGTCATAGTTTTTCAATCTCGACATTTTCCTCAGAGATTGTGGCAATAGTTTAGAGTATAATCTGTGTGAAATTTCTCGACGATAGCTTGTCGAATAAAAAAGTTTTCCATAGAAGGAATTGATTTTGATTGTTCAGTTTGTATGGCAGCCGACAAATGAGCAGCTTCTTGTTGAAAAAAAAAACGTGTGCAAAATTGCAGATCGATATATAGAAAATTGAGGGACTAGTTCGCGTTTATACAGACAGAAGAGCATGGCTAAGTCAACGCAGTTCATTATACCGATCATTTATCTATATTTTTTTATATGGTTTACGACGTTTCCTTTGGGTGTTTGCCCTGTTCAGGGTATAAAAATAAAATAAAATATTAATGCAATACAAAAAGGATATTTTCCACATCGCAACCGTATAATTAAAAGAGACATTTTCGTTTACACATTTTTCTCAATCTTTTTCACCATGGTTTACCTCTGCCAATTAGTATTTAAGCACATTAATGGAAATTGTGCTGACTACTGGCAAGCGCCTTGCAGGATGCTTAATTTTTAGCTTGCAGGTATAAAGCAATTTGTTGCTGTTTGTTAGCAGGCTTAGCAGACTATCTGCTGGGTAGGGTTATGTAGTTCAAGGAAGGTCCGTGCTAATCTAATCAGAGTAAACTTTTGTTTAAATTTTTTTATAACTACGAGTATATTCGCGCGGTTCGTTAAAAGATGGGGTAACATTGTTTATTATTCCATTATACCAATATTCCAAATGTGTGTTGGAAGCCTACTGTTTATGTGCGTTCTTCTTAGCTTATGTCATTCATTTGAAGCCCAAACAATAATAATTTTTTTACACAT